CAGTTCCCTCTCTGAACATCATTGTTTGACTGAGATTGCCATACTGACAAAAACAAAAGGACAGTGCATATCTCTCACACCTAAACAAGGAAATCAAGAACGTAGCTATTCTCTAAGTTTCTGTTTGGCTGCTAAAAATGTGCCACAATCTGTCATTTTATCAAAAGGCGTTGGCGTTGGAGAGAGGAAGCGTTTCTCATAGTTCCTTCAATCAGCACTCGCAGCAATATTGGACTAATATTGGAGCTAATGGTCTGTTTGATGAAGCGATAAGGTCCAGAGAAAGGAGTAGAAGGGAATAGCTGTAGTGTGAATGACAGTTCTGTTTAGTTTTGCTTTTATTGGCTGTTTGGTTTATGCAACAAAACAATTTCATTTAAGAAAAGATCATGGATTAGGTTAAAATACATCCATTCACAGCATTAACCCTCGCACACTTAAAGTCACCCTTTGCATTTTTAATGTAATGCTAAAGGACCCTTCACAAATTCCCCTACACAGCGTTTCAGGAAGATTACTATTAGCTATTGAGTCACAGCACCAGTGTCACTGGATGCATTGTGCATGTTTTTTTTACCCAAGCGGCTTTGAAAAGTGTCATATTTGACGCTGTTGGAGTGAGAGTGGGTTCATTTCCTTTGGTATGTGTTTAATAAGTTCTTAACATAAAGGTAATGGAAACGTCACATTAACATTTGATGCAAAATAACATTTCGTGTCCACGCCCTTCTCATTGCAAACCTCACATACCGAGCTGCTTTAATGTGGTAATAAATCTAAGCTGTTTGCATCAGTCATTTGGACTGCTGCTTTACGCATCGCATGGCATGTTCTTTTGCATATTCCATTTTCACTGTAAAATGTTCAATCAGATTTAATAGTCTATCTCTATGGTGATTAATGATAATTTTTAGATGGGTGTTGGATTTAATATGATTTCTCAAAGCTTTCATTCGCGATCACTTAAATTAGTTTGGCTTTTGTCTCTTTTGTCTCCTAAAATGCATAGTGAGTAGATGATGATTGTAAGAATCCACCTGATGCTCTTCACCACAAACATTTTTGCATCTAGTTATCTATCACGGAATAGTTCTTCCCTAAAATGTTCTTGGGAGTTATACAAGCATTTCTACTGTGGTTTTTGCCTAATATATTCGATGTTTCAGATGTTTAGTGCAAGTGCAGGGTATTGATAGGGCCGTGAGCCACGCTGCGAGAATCTTTGTGTAGTTGTGTATATTTGTATGAAAGAAAGATTTGCAGAGTTTGGAGAATCCTCAGTTTTGAATTAGTCATTTTTCAGGCTGATTAAGAGGCAGGAGTCTGGCTGTAGGAGAGACAATGACAAGAGAGAATGGAGTCCTTCATCCTCCTTTGGTTTCTTGAGCAGAGGACTATAGAGGTTTTGTGTGTTTTGCTTATTACTCTGGAAATGAAATGACACAAAGAGTCAGAGTTTTAAGATTTAGAGGGTTTAATTCAAGGGTATTTTTCACACATCATTTGAACGGTAATGAGTCTCGCTATTTAAAGGTGCAGTTAGAGAGGTTTTTACTGCCACATAACACCAAAATGGCCCTTTCAACGATCTTACCTTGCAGCTTGACAGCGATGTTGTTCGTTATGAAGGCAACACAGATGTCAAAAGCTTTTCAAACTCACTTTTGACAACCCCCGTAATTCAAGATGTTTTTATATATTTCAGTGCAACTTAGCATAATAATAACTTTGATGTGAAAGGGGTGGTTTGTAGTGAAGATCAATTTATCAGGGCATCTGTCAGTGCACACAATATGCAAAAAAGTTGAACAGTTACAGATGTCCGGACTGCAAACGACAGATTAAAACCTTTAGCAATTAGCTCATTCACATAAAGCAACAATTACAGATAAATTTAGTGGACAGCAAACCAAACCCAAAAAGGAGTTCCCAAAAATAGTTGAGATGATGTGCAAAAAAACAATAAAAACAAACTGTGATGAAAATTTAAAATCATTAAGGTCTGAATTGAAAATAAAATGTAATAAAATAAAATAAAAATAAACAATGTAGAATTTTATGTCGATCCTGGTATGCAGAGGTCAAGACCGAAGACCAGTATTGAATAGCCATCATCTGTATACCTCCAGGCTGCAATGCATTAAAACAAAACACAATTCTGTGGTAGAAATCAATGCATGGGCTCTAGAACCACTTCTGAAATCCAATGCCACCTTCTGTCTTCACATGCAAGTGGATACTTGTCTCTACCGTGCACAGAAACAAGCATATGTTAAGACAAAACTGGGCCAGAGGTTGGTAAAGATGAACTGAGGTGAAGCAGAAAACTGCCCCATGATCTCATGAATAAAAATATAAAAACAATTTATGGAAATCATGAATGATGCACCCCTAAAAGAAAATTAAACTAGGCTCTCATATACATGTTTTCTTGTTAACAGTAAACAGCTCGATAGCTAGATCAGATTAGTGCACACAGCAAGGCCCCAATAATGCTGAGTGGTACACATTTGCAACAGCATAGTGTCATGCGGTGCAAAAAAGGACCCAAATGCAGGCTGCTCACCTAGAACATGATAAACAGAAAATCAGCCTTTATTCAGGTTGAGTAGTAAGACTGTGGAGGTCCAAAACAGAAAATCAACTGCAGGGTTCAAAAGGCTTAAGCAAAAGCACATAAGGCTTAGCAAACAGAGAGAACAAAACAAGTTTGGAACACAGGCAATCTGACAAAGGGAGACAGCAACGATTTATAAACATAAGGGTGACTGGGGCAGAATGGAGACGCCTGGGAAACTAGACACAGCTGGACTTAATCAGATAATGAAACATTGGTAGGAGAACGTAAAACATGGCCCAAGAGACATATGGCTATCAGCATAAAACAGGAAGTAATATGACACCAAGACAAAGACTTGACAACAAGATACAAGGAGACATTAAAGCGATGAAGCTAGCATGAATAACAAAAAATACAAAGCAACAACAACTAAGGACTAAACATTATGACCATGAACCTAATGCAAAATGAAGATACAGAATACAAATACAAACTAGAATATAAAGAACGGGAAGTGACTAGAAATGATAAACCATATTAGGCTGACAGAAGTGAAAAGAAAAAAAAACAGCTATAAGAACAGCAAAATTAGACAACTATAATCAACGAGAGAATTTAACAATAACCTAGTCCCAACAAACTAAAGCTTAGATTTCAAAATCCCAGAACCATGACAAATGGCTCTGTACTTTAGTAGAATCCAGGTGCAGACTTGCCACCTGTTGAAAACACCGCTTTCACTGAAATAAGAAATATGACAAAGAAAGCCCTGAAGTATTGAAAGGCTGAAATTTTACATCAAGCAAGAATAGGGAAATATTTTGCATTAGAAAGACACATAAATATGCCTCAGACACAGCTTTTAGAAATTCAAATGAATGTTTTCAGCATTTGATATACTGTTTTTGTGCTATTTTCAAAATACATATAAAGTTTTAACGTTTTGCAAAACACATCTTCTTATTTTCTGTGTCCTAAACTTATGCAGAAATTTCACTGGCCTTTTTGCAGACTCACCAAATCGGTGCAGATTCAATAATTTGGCTACAAAATAAACATTACCATGTAGAAGCATTTACATAAAGATGGAAAACTGCACCTATTGAGCTGAGTTATGGAGTATAAACGTCCACCAAAGACCTAAAAACAGAGAATTTTTTACAACCTTATAACAATTTTTCTGACTTTCCCATTTCCATTGCTGCTTACTCTTTTTTTTTCTTCAAAAATATGGTTCACTTTTTCTTTTTATTTATTTATTAATTTATTTCAAGCCAAGCTAAGAGAGACTGAATGGTCCACTTCTGCGTGTCACTCATCCAATGCATTAAACTGCATTGGGGTGGTGGGTGGTGGACAGTGCTGCTGGGTGGGGTTGTTTGGCACTGCTGGAAACATGGTGGACAGATATTGATGGATATTGTGGCGGTGTTAATCCCCCATCGTCTACCAACAATAAAGCACCGAATGATGGAATGGCGAAAGTATAGACAACTCTGACATGTCCCTCGCTCATGTACAAGTTTATGTCGAAACGGCACATCAAAGCAAATCCTCCAATTGTCTCACCTAATCTTTGAAAGAGCAGAGGGATGGATCAGCCTACTGAATGTCCCCGCACTGTGGCCACTATTGAAGACAGAAATAAAAGTGTTTAAGTCTCTTGGAGACAAAAGCTATTGAGGATTGTGCCAAACTTGGTTCCTCATAACTATGAGTTGTTTTGAAAAACTTGATGAATATAGTTTGTCACGCTTTTTTTTTAATTATGAAACTATATGTATGTTTTCATTCATTCATTTGTGCATTCTACAGGTCCGATTTGGCCAATAAAGTAAAATTGATATTTGTATTGCTAAATATCCCCAATCAGTCATCAACTGTCATAATTTTAGTAGGTATATAACAGTTGCTCAAGGATCTGCAGGAATCAGCAGTAGAGGCATATTTATTTGATGATGAAGGTAAATATTTGGACCATGCCAGGACTTTGTTTATATGATTGTTCCAACTATGGCAGTTTCCCTTTCCTTGAAAATCTTGCATTGCTGCATCCATGCCAAGTACTATCCACTCCCAGTATCCCATTTTCTTCCTCTGGGACGTGGCATTCCTGCCAGTCATGTGCTATCAGTGAGACTGCAGGCACTTCTTGGGCCTGCCCAACTATCTTCCCCTCTCTGTCTCTGTCCTCACTCCACCCCTCTCCACAGTTGCTGTGTATCTCCCTTGACCACCTCGGTCCTTAGCGAGCACTCCACTCCACTTTTTTTTTTTAGCAATCCATTCATTCATCTGTCTAGGCTCTTCCTGTTTTCAACTTTCTTTATCTAAAAGTCCCTTCAGCTGATAGTTCATGCTGGTACTTTTTGCTCTGTTTGTCTTGCCTCTAATCTCAAACCTCGCTCTGTGTCTCTTTTTTTCCCTCTCTCTCTGACAGGTGTAAAGAGGGCTACCATGGACTACGCTGTGACCAGTTTGTTCCCAAGACAGATGCTATCTTGTCAGATCCAAGTACGCTCCCTATTCTACCCTTTATTTTTCAGTCTTGGTGTATTGATCTGAAACATAAAAACAAATTCATAACAAGTGCACGCTACATGCCCTTGAGCAAATCTCTTACTGTACTATATTTATCAGTAAGACAAATTAGCCTTAGATTAACTGTTATCTGTTTAAGTCTGTTGGTCTTGTACAGTAATACTATGTGATTAAAGTATTGTGTGTGACTTTATATTGAAAAAACTAACATTTCCAATATGGTTCAGTCATTTTGAAGTATACAAATGCAGAGAACCTCCAGGCGCTCCTTAAGTTGACAAAGGTGGTCAAAGAAAAATGTTCAGCTTAGCGGGGTAAAAGGTTAAGATTCATGCTAAAGTTTTTCTGCTACGTGTGCATTGAAAATAAAAAAGCAAGGGTATTACGGCACTGAATTCATTCAATAAAGAAAATTTTTTTTTTTCATTTACTTTAATATCTCCTACTATATCTACAGAGGTGATCACACATTGGATATTGTGTCAAACGTGGGGGTTTTCATTTAAATATTAATGCAAGCAGTTATTACTGCAGTCAAAGATATTATTTAGTTACCGGGTAAAATGTGTATCCCGATAGATTTATTTTCATTGGCCTACATGAATGTCCCTCATATAGATGCATGAAAAATCCCTTGCATGTTTTATAATCATGCTTTTATTTAGCCTAAAGGAAGGAAAGTATTCACTTTCCTGGTGTTCGTGAAAAACTGTTCCCCTAAAGTGATGACAGCTGTGTGGTGTACTTAAAAAAAAAAAATAAAGCAAAAGTCACAGGTACAAAGAAGAAAAACTGGAGGCCCAGAGCCGTTCCCGTGAGAGTGCAGTTTTACAAATTCACACTGTTTTATGGAGTGAATCGTCTCCTCCGCACCAAGAGTCAAAGAGAAAACTTAACTCCTATTGCCGTCTGTTTGATTCCATCAGGCCCGCTGAGAGTCCATTAATGGAGTCACAAGCCAGTGTCACAAAGCTTGTTTTATGCTCTCGCATGGCACACAGTTTTCACACTGGGATTTGTTTTATGTTCTATAGGCAGACATTAATTTTCCAGGGTGTCCAGCTCAAGAGATTTTTATGATGCTATTTAAAATAAGCCGAATTCTACTGTGCTTTGGATAAAAACGGACTCTCAAACAAACCAGTGAATTACAACACAGCCGTGGTACTTGTAGATTTATTGAAATATATAAGACAATATGCCTCAGAAGGCAAAATACGAAACAAAAAGGTGAAGTTTTTACACCGTATCGTTCAGAAGACAAAAACTTGCATTTCAGGGGCGAGCATCTTTTACAGTGGCTATAGGTAGACCTATAAATCAGTTTAATTAGCATGAGGGAAGCACAACACTTCAGAGCAAGGATCTCCCAGGCTGTAGAAGCAATCCCTGAGCTGTTAAGCTGTTAAGGAGTTGCTGCTCTTACTGTAACAGTTTCACTGTGTCATTCAGTCAGGAGTCAACCAGCAACAATAAGCAACCTAGAGAACTGCCCCCATCTGATAACACAAAATTAAGCTCACACAAATGACCACATTTGGATTTTTATGAAATCAGCAAAATATTTATCAACAATTCTGTCAAAAATACAGTTTGGAAATATTTATCGCTTAAAGGTTGTAAATTAATTCATATCTAATTTGACTTACCTCTAATACGTGCATTCATTACATTTGTGATAAAGTGCCTTGCATTGATAGAAATGTTTGATTTCTTGTAATGCGAACGGTACTTTTGTCCAACCTGATCATATAAATGATGTTGTTACTTCATAAACAGACGACAGACATGAACAGGGCCCTGCCGATGGATCTGATTGATCGCCATTCTTGTTCAGAGCCACGTTCACCTGTTTGTTTACATCGTCGGCTAGGTATCCTAGCATTACATGCTAGGCTGTAATGCGGAAAAGACTGATGAGCAGTTTAAGAGAAAATTGCCTCTTGCAACTGTCATCACTTGCACCCCATCACTTAAATAAATCCATTACCTCGTGTTGCAGGGTTTGGCACAATTTTGTTTCTCCTATATCTGAACCACGAGCCACATGCTCCTCCATGTTTGGCTGTACGACTGCTTTCATAATAACTACTAACATTTTTAGTAGTTTTTTTTTTCAGGTCTGTGCTGTGCTTGATTGCACCAGCTGTTGACCTATTGAAGATTTGTAAGCTACACTCACTGGCCACTTTATTAGGTATAGCATGCTAATGTGGTGGCATTGATTCAACAAGGTGTGCGAAACATTCCTCTGAGATTTTGCTCCATATTGACATGACAGTGTCACAGAGTTGCTGCAGATTTGTAGGCTGTTCAGTCATGATGTGAATCTCCTGTTCTATCACATCCCAAAGTTAGACTGAGGTCTGGTAACTGTGTGAGTACACTGAACTCATGTCATGTCTCTCTTAATGTTCAAGAGACCAGTTTGAGATGATTTGAGGTTTGTGACATTCTGCTGCAAAGAGCCATCAGAAGACTGTGGTCACAAAGAGATAAACATTGTCAGCAGCATTTAAAAGAGGCTCATATCATACTGAGGGGCCCAAAGTGTGTCAAGAAAATATTCCCCCTTACACCAACAGCAGCCAGAGCTGTTGATACAAGGCAGGATTAATCCAAGCGTGAAGCTTTTATGTTGTTTATGCCAAATTCCGACTTTCTCATCCAAATGTTGCAGCCAACTTCAAGACTCATCAGACCAGACAAGGTTTTTCCAGTCCTGTATCATCTAATTTTAGTGAGCCTTCACAAATTATAACCTCTGTTTCCTGTTTTTACATGACAAGAGGAGTAGGAGCGCTACGGTGCGGTCTTCTGCTGTTTTAGCCCATTTGTTTCAAGGGTCAATATGTTTTGTGTTCAGAGATCTACTTCAGCATACTCTAGTCACAATGAGTGGTTATTTGACTTAATGTTGTCTGAGTTTGAAGCAGTCCAGCCATTCTCCTCTGATCTCTGGCATCAATGAGACATTTTTACCCAGAAAAGTTGCCGCTCAGTGGGAAGTTTCTCTTTATCAGACCATTCTCTGTAAACTCTAAAGATGGTTGTGTGGTAATATCCCAATAGAACAGCAGTTTCTGAAATACTCAAACAAGTTTGGCACAACAGCCATGCTGTCACTTAACTCACCTTCCCCATTCTGATGTTCTGATTGAACTTCAGCAGGTCATCTTGACCATGTCTACATGCCTATATGAGTTGCTGCCACCTGATTGGCTGATTAGATATTTGTGTTGACAAGCAGTTGAACAGATATATCTAAAAAAAAGTGGCCAGTGAGTGTAAATAGGCTAATGGCAGGTTCAAGATAAAGGGCTAATCAGCTAAAGACTAAACTACCAGGAAAATTACTGATCTTTCTGGTGGTCAGTCCACCCCCATTCATCTTGTGAACCCTTTAGACAAATGTATTAGCCATTAGCAAGCTGGCGTCAATGTTTATTAGATGTGGACAATGGGCCAAAAGCCTTTTTATTTTTTTCCTTCTCACACTGAATGCACTGTTCAGAGGCTTCCAATCTACAAATAGAAATGATCAGAGGAGTGCTGGAAGAGCTTTATATATCAGGGAGTATGGAAAATCTAAAAATTGCTTAGCGTTTTTAATCAGAATGCTTCTCTTGTGCTGGAAAATAGAATCAATAAAATGCTCTGTACAAACAAGCTACTGAAGAAATCTTCAGTAGTAGGTTAAGACGGTGCACCGAGTACACCCCTGACCTTCACAAGAAAAAGAAAAAAAAAGAAACTGACAGCTTTATCGTGAATTTGTCTTGCATAACCTCTCAATGGCCACAACAGTTAACCACAGAAAACAGCTTCCAGTGACCGTGACCAATAACACAGGAAGATTTGAGAGTCGGAGGGGAATGGAGCCTAGTTTTGATCTGTGTTGATACACACTCATCTAAAATTTACCCAGATTACCAAGGGTTTGGAGGATTATCCTGCCTCCAAAATCCAAATCACGTAATAACATACAGCACAAACATACATGCATATACCAACAACAGCTAAATCTTAAGCGCTGATGAAATTCAGCGTGTGTACAAATAAGCAACTGTAGTTTTTTTGCCGGGCCATGCCACGCTTTTCTGCTTTGAGCTTTCATTTTGGATCAATATCTGAGCACCTTACAGTCACAAATCATTTCTTGCCCCTTATCCTTTTTCTTCGTATCGACTGGTAAAATACTGAAAAGAGCAGTTTGGACCACAGTGCCGCTCAGTCACTCACTCATTCACACGTCCTCACAGAAGTAGATAGAGAATCACAGGCGAAGGCGTGTTAGAGTTTAATCAAATTTTAATTTCAATTATGATTTTTGGCTCCAATGATTATGAAAACAAGGTAATTGAGATAAAGCGATTATCATGCGTCAGTCGTTATCACAATAGTGCTGTGGCCCCTCCCTGAAAGCCCAAACCTGCTCATTGTTTAATTCAGTTCCAGGCAACATGGCGAAAAAAGGAGTCTTGGGTCAACAAGATCTATTGAGACGAAGTAATAGTCAGAATACACTTGTGTCACTCAGCCCTCACTCGCTCTCTGCTTGTGACTTTTGTGCAGGTCTGTCAGGTCACATAACAAAATTGCCTCGTGGACATGTTGTTGCCACTGTCTGCACCCACAAAACTCCCATGATGGAGACTACAGTTAACAGGGACTTTTTAAAAATTATTTTTATTACTTAAATTATATACATTGATAAAGGAAAAATAATCCAGTGTAAAAAAAAAGAAAAAGTAAATGTAGTAGTAAGTAATCTCGCTATTAATCAAAATAATCACAATATTGATTTTTTTTTTCTACAACCGAGTCCATCCTGCACATGACAGAACCACATGGACTAAAAGAATTAAGTCCTCTCTGTAACATTCCAGCTGTACTGCAGTGAACTCAGCTTTGGAAATAATGCTGGAGTTTAACATATTGGTGCACAGGGGAAGTGGTGGAGTCTTTAAGTGGAGCGATGGCAGAGTAGGAAGGTAGCAATTTAGTTTATAACTGCTTGAGGATGTGGATTGAGTTTCTTTTTTAACCATGAAAAAGTTTAGAGCATCCCACTAATGGTGTTCAGTTGGGCAAGTCGCACTTCTGAGACTACAGAGGGGATATTTTGGTAGAAGACTGAAGAGGAGGCGGAGGAAAGATGGGCCTTTTTGGTTTTTACCCGGTTTACTCACAAAGAGGAAGGAGGCAATCCTCTAATTTGAACTATTGATCTTCTGTAGATATTATGCCTGGAGTAAGTAGCTACACAGGATATCGAATTCAATAACAGACACAGACACACATATTGACTCTGCAGTTCCCTTCTCACCCAAGTGAGGGAGGGGATTAAGGATTTGATTCACTCCTGCCATTGTCTCTCCCACCAGCCAGATTCCTGCCTCTTAATCGGGCCAAAAGCATCTGACATGATGCACAGGTATTCTCCAAGCTTGCTCAAGGCTCCCATAAGATGCCGTGAATGATTCCCCCGGGTGCTTCGAGTTGCCAGTGCGAAGGATTGGGAGCCTGCACATATTATGATTGGTGAATGTCTCCAGACAAGGCAATGCCAGAGGAAGGGATGTGTATCAGAGTTGTAATGACATCATCTGCACAGGCTATGACAGTCAGGGCGATTTAGAGTGGAGAAGGGTTGGCTGTTGCCATGGGCAATCACAGGAAAAGGCTTGAATGTATAATACAGATCAAGTAACGTCAGAAAGATGCTGCATTCATTTATTTTATTTTTTTTAAGGAGGGCGAGTCAGAAAAGTGTAAAAAAAAAAAGTAAGAAAAGTGGTAGCCATATCTTGATTTCACAGTTATATTTCCGAACTCTTTGTGGCAACAAGCATAAAGTCCCCCAGTCAGAAGTGATTGGCTCTTAACTGTTTAATCATTGGTTTGCAAGGTTGCTATGAGACTGACTATGATTCAGAAGGAGCGTATAATAAATGTTGGCATGTAAAATAATCCTCGAGGCTGCAGGAGGAAAATGCAGACCCTGCATTCTGCTCAACAACAACACAATGACACCTGCAGCCTGTCTAAATACAAACATAAACTCATTTGTTCATTGATTAATTTGGGAATCTCAGACCTGCTTTTCCAGGCTGTTTTTTCTTGTTATCTCTGTGATCATGAAAATCCCTTAGGCTCATTAAGAACCTGTCAAGCAATCTTAGAGCAAATAGCATAATTTGACTTAAGCACTTATCTTACCATTTTCAAGTCCAAATGCCCTCCGAAGCATTCCCTTTATGCAATGTAGGGAGGGTCCTGTTTTTTAATCGTTTACATTCCACCTCTTAATAAGGCAGCACAGTTTATTTTAATCCATTCACCTAAATGCTTGGATCTCACTCCTGTCACGCTGTGTTTTTATTTTTCCGTAAATAAAAGCCATGGCAATGACAGAATTTTTCCCGTGGCACAATCAAAATGCTTTTTTCCCCCTATTTTATAGACTTTTTTTTTAGAGGTTCCAACACATAATCTGTCAGGGCTTGGCAAGCCATCTTCTATTTAAAACTCAGACCACCTCTGTCAGAAAAGCAATTACTAGTGAGGGTTTCATTTTAATTTAAATAAGATTACATTACAGTGACATGAAAAGGGGGCACTGCCAGGATGGAAAGAACACGAGTGCTCCTTTTTATCTGTTTTCCCCAGCGCTGGGATTGTGGGAAAAGACATAACTGAATGAAGAAAGACTGCGTGTCTTTGGAGGAGAGTGAAAGAGAGGGTGAATGTCAAAGTGTGTGCCTGTGCAGAAAAGACCAAAAACACGTGCAAGCTTATACCATATTGTGTGGGTACACATGCATTTGAGCGTGTGTGTGTGTTAGAGTGACGCATCCTAAAGCAACCAGATTGTGAATAGTGAAAAGCTATGCTTGGAGACAGAAGAGGACAATTACTGCAATGCCTCAGGCTCAAATCAATATAAAAGGCCTGTGCAAAGCAACATCAATGACATAAAGCCACATGATATGTCATTTCCAACTTTATTTTCATGATCCTTCCTCTAATCCTCTCAGCCCCCACATCTGCGTTGTTTTCTTGCTTCAATCAAAGCCACTGCAAGCTGTGTGAGTATCACGGAAAAGCATTCCAAGCATCCGAGGCTGGCTGGCTCATTACCTGGTGCCAAAGAGGAAGCCGTGTTAGAAAAAGCCAGCAAAGCCAACTGTACCGTGTAGTTGCACCAAGTGTCTCACCCCTAAGGTGAATTCTGAGGAAAAAAAAACTGAGGCGCATCATGTTGTAATTATTTTATGCTCTGTCTCTCTCTCTTTTCCCCACCCTCATTTCTCATGCTATCCCGCCTTGAATGGAACAGCGGATGAACTTGGGATCGAGTTCATGGGTAAGACAACTTTTCATTGACTGTGCCGAGTGCTCAATCTTTCCGTGTGCCTCACGTCTGTGAAATACTGCATACAAAACACACACAACCAGCACAACAAGGCCGCTCACCTTGGAAAATTAATGTGGGCTAGTCGCCATGGAAACACCGTGGTGGTGAATTAGGTGTATTCTGTCTGCATGAAGAACAGTACCGTTAGAGAGGAGTGATGTAATGAGTATGGAGCAAAGAAAGCGATTCATGTACTGTATAAATCTGTGTCTACTTGCCTACTGTGTACTATGTGAAAATTTCATATCTCGGTAGCGATGTCCAAAATGATCGCGGTTTCCATGAAGTTAGTCGAAATGTTTTGACAAAAATATTCCAAGTTGAATCTGCAGTTTTGATTTGCAGATTTACATAATACATTTGGTTTTCTGTACTTGTTGTGTTTGAATATAATTCACTAAGTCTTAAGCAGATAGTAAAACAAGAAGCCCAACAACAGAAAAGTCTTGTATAGAAGCTTACAGCGTTCTGAATTGTGCGATGCTTATAATGAACAAAATATTTTGTTTGCATGACTGAACTGACACATATGCAGTGGACGGATAGTTTTCAGACACACAGCAGCATCTACAACAACAGCAACAACAGTGTGTTACTGACAAGCTGTTAAGTAGCTACAAAGACAAAAGGCCCTTACATTATGAAGTTAATGATTACTAAAATTTAGCAGTCGTTCTGTAGAAAGTTAAAATTGAACTTACCCTCATTTTAAAAGTAGAAGCAATTTAGTTTCTATTCTTCAGATAGTGTCGACCATGTTCAAGCAAGTCTCCGTCAGTACTCTTAAAGGTACAGTGTGTAAAATCGCACAACTGGATGTCAGTAGATCACAGATTGCAGTCATTTGAATTCAGTTTTTTTTTACCTCTTCCAATTCAAGCACCTAGCCATAACCCTAACTACGGTGGCCCCTTTAGGCCAAACACATTTTAGTTAGCTAAGAGAGATTAGAAATGTCAAATTTAGACTGCACTCGATAACTGCTTTGGCCGGCATGTTTTAACATATTTGAATATTAACATTTGAATAAACCACAAATAAAATATTTTGTTGTATTTTACATTTTTACTGCTGAGTCACTTCCAAACCTCTGGCTGCCGTTCATCTGCAGTGAGTGTAGGTTGTCAGTATGCTGTTAACCTCAGCTATCAATAGCCCGAGCATTCACATCTACTCACTGATATGGTTCGATGAGTCGGTGTAGGTCACTTCTGTCCAGTGACAGTAATAGTGAGGTGAGTTGTTAAAGATATCCTGAAGTTTTCTTTCAGTAGGCACTGCTGTTTTTCCCGGCCATCTCAACCCAGTGTATATGTAATGGGTTAATCCAAACTTTATGTGAATGTATCATTTTGTTAGAGAACATAATTACAGACTAATCAATGTGTATTCATGAGTACATTATTCTTTTTTTTAGATTAAATAACCTAAAACCAAACCAAGTTCAATTAGGAGGCTGAGCCTTTTTCTGGTGTAGATGTTTAGTCAAGTTTAACAATAGGATCTAAAGTATAATATAAAATATAAAAATCCACAGAAGGTCAAATACTGAAATGAGAAGCAGTGCATATAGATTTTTTTTTAATTCTCTGGATTTTCATTGGAGTTACTTTAGGTACTTCTCTACTTTCCTACAGACTGTCAACAAACTAAGAGAAAAAAAACAAGGGAGGCGAGAGACAGTCTCATCACCCCAGACTACACACACATACACTGCAACACCGTTTTTCATTTTCTCTTTTCCCATCTTTTTTTCCACTTTCTGCCTTGCTTTTGTGCATACATAAAAACTAACACTGCATGCTATGAAGTTTTCCATTAACATGGCTTCATACACTGCTGTCACATCACACGCTAGCTCCAGGAAATAGAGGGAGGGAGAGGATGTATGCCCTGCAAACAGCATTCCTCACTTCAGTAACTTTAATCTGGGGGACTAAATTAGTTCAGAATGCTACTGGAGGTGGGCGGATGCATTAGAGAAAATGAGAGCAGGACTGATCAATTGATAGCCGGACAGGTGACAGACAGAGGTACAGATAGGATATTTTTATTTTTTTTTTTGGTTGGGTTTCTTATTCATTGTGTTCCATCATGAGTTCGTCTTTTCTTTATCAATGAATTGTTTGATAGCTTGTTATATAAGTCTGATATGTGACAGTCTGAGACAGCCTGTCAGACTACAGCAAAGCTCCGTTTGAAGTAGAATTGAGCGCTCTAAAAGTAATCTTGTCTTTTGATTTTCTTGCATTTTTTTTTTTTAGCCCAGCAACTGAAGCTCTTTGTGACTCAGAATAGTTGACTCTGATGTTTTGCAGGCTGAATACCCCATTTTCTCATGGATTCTTTAGCATGAACTTCATTATAGCACGTTATTCTTGTCAAGTGTAGAGTGCATCGCTGGCATAGCGGCCATATGGGATTGTCTTGTCTTTGAGTCAAAATAACACGGCTTAGCCAATATAGCTAAGACTCTTCACTTTGGTGGGGTTCTTTTATAACGTGCTGTTGCATCTAATTTCAAGAATGCCTTGTAGGCATCTGGCATGAAAGGCCTGTAATGGTTTTATATACAGACTGCATGTCGGTTTTCCTTGCAGCCATTCAGCAGAGCTTTGTAGACAGCTGTTTTTATGTTCACATTATGGAAAAGCCTTTTTCATCCCTCAAAAGAAAAAAAGGGAAAAAAAAGGCAAAGGCCTGTCTCAGGTGGTGCTCCACATGAGCACTGATAATGCAGGAGCAGGAAAAAATGTTTTCAATATCTTTCAGATATGCAACCATGCAGAGGTCATTTCACTGATGGTAAAGGCTGGAGGCTTTACAGGGACATGGATTTCCAAGTGGCACATTACTTATAAACAAAGAAAAAAGCCAACTTTTACTGAGCAGCTGCAGGACATTTCTCCTCTTCTACCTGCACAGCAATAAACAAACACATTTTTTTTAAATCCCTTTAAAATTATAGGATAGAAGCAGACTATACAATTCAGTAATTCAGGAGCTTATATTGGGGTTTTTCATATATATACATAGTTATATTTGCGTCATTACACAGTATATTGTCGATTGACTATTTTTTCCAACTCAATAATTTCTCATTTCAGAACATTTATTGTTTTAACAGTAAAAAATGTGATCCAGCCTAACCAAGCTAACCCCCACTATTTATTGGTTGACCGTATTAAATAAGCAATCATGTGCCACAGCAGGCCACTCCTGCAGCATTTCTATGGATCACTTCTATATTTAATTCATCCTGCTTCCCTTCTATGGGAGCTGAGTGGGTAGTTTGGACCTCCAATGTTTATATATATATTCACATACTGTCACTCCAGGATATGTTCAGATTTTATCTTTATCTGTTGCTAGAAGCACTCTAATTTTAAAAAGGTTTCTCTCCTGTTTGAACTCAGTTACATCATACTATCAAAAATTGTGTTGATGCAGCACTGATGTAATGCAGAGGAAGAAAGCGGTGGGGCGAGGGAAAAAAAAACGGTGCAAAACAGAACGCATGGTTGCACTCAAACGTTAGCTTTGAACAAAAACGCTCTCCAGCAGTATCTGCCCTCAAAAACAAGAGTTGAGGGAAGTTGATAAACCTGGACCGACAAGCACGGCTCAAGAAGACCTCCCAGGACAGTTCTCTGTTGACAACATCAAAAGCCACAGACAAGCCCTTAAAGGTCAGGAGCAGGTTGCGGTGATGTTCTCTGCACTTTCCCCTGCAGTTGTCAAGGTAGTAAAATCAGACACAGGGGGATTTGTTGTTTTTGAGTGATCAAGTAATGCCACAGGACGTTGCCCGTAAGGTCATGGATGCTGGTGGATCAGAGAAGTGTCTCAAACTCTCAGCGACTTTTGTGGATTAGTGATATGAGTTGCTGGTTATGGATTGTGCTCATTTTGATCATGAGTTAGTATCGTCATGAGAGTTTCTGGTAAGCCAGTGGGTGCGTGCCCTTGAACTCCACACCGTGCACCGTGCTAAGTATTTCAGCGCCACAATCCAGTTGCTCAGTGAGACAGATATTTGCTGGGATCAACTACAACTTGTCCCAGCTGCTTGTGACCTTAAGCCTCTGCCGCTGACGTGCAGGGGTCTGACAAGAAGCTCCGGGAGCATTCATTTGCTGCTAATTTCCTGTCGCCATCAGTCTCTGAATGCTGACACATATGCAACCCTTGCATGCACGTACACACCAAGTGCTGGTCCTGCTGTGCAGACAGTCCATCGGTCCCTGCTGGGTTTGTCTGAACGAAATGATTATCACACTTCAGTTAGCACGTCACTGAGCCCTGCCTGTGTCTGCCATGTCCCTATCTCTTCCTCAAACGGTGACATTTACTGACAGCAGCATTGGTCGCTTTATGCAAATGCAGATTGTGGGCAGATGTCTGCGCGCGGTTTCGAGTGTATGTCATTCCACCCTTTATGTGTATTTGGTATGTTAATTCATCATGATCCATCTCTTCCTCTCAGCTCAATCGCAACCATAGTCCATATCGTTTATGTCACAGCAGAAATTCATTGGACTGAACTGTATTCTCTCCTCCACAGAGAGTGGTGACACCTACCAGAGGCAGGTGCTGTCCATCTTCAGCATTGCCTCGGGGATCTGTCTTCTTGGAGTGGCATGTATGGCTCTCTACCGCCACAACAAGTGAGTGATGCCAGCGAGAACCACATTAGTAGCGTATGCCCCCGGCTGTGCAGAAAGAGCACTTTACTATCATGGCATGGAGCCCAATGAAATTCTAAGTGTGAGTCAGCTAGAGGATGTTTTAGCAAGGCAACAAATCTAAATAGTGTAGGATGCATTTCGGACAGATACTCATGTAAGATTTATTTGAAAGTGGTTTTAGCAAGCAGGTGTGTCACAAAATGCTTCACACAAAACAAAATACTCAGATATGGCAAGAGACAGACCAAGTTCAAGTACAGTAGACCCTAAGTGCACGTGTACATGTGTGTGACAAGATAAGAGGGTTTCCTGGTGGCTCAGAAGCAGACCACCAAAGTCAATTATGCATGGCACCAAAGAAGAAGGAAAAAGAAAGCAGAGGGAAAGAACTGGAAGAGTGTGTGTATGTATATTCATTCAGTAGGAGTGAATGAATGCTGTGCTGGCTAAATTAAGCTTGCTAAACAAAAACAAAAAAGGTGGTTTTATTTTTGAGTAGTGTAGTGCCCTGAGCAGTGCAGCACATATTGGTCAACATGAACAGATAGTCCTGGCTCACAGATAGAATTAATGTACTGAAAATTATCCAAAATCACAAGTCCTGTGATAATAAGTCTCTTTCCTTCAAAAAAAATAGCTGTGCGCCAGGCTACCGTGGATAAATAGCTTTTCAAACTCCGTGGTTGTTTTTCCTCTCAAGAAAAAATGCGAAATTTTGTTTGTATCAGTACTTCTCAGAAGAGATTAGTAAAGTTTTCAGAAAGGTTGCTTTTAGGTGGTATAACTTCATTATTATTATTTATTAGAGTGGGTTCCTGCAGCACGTTTTAATCCCTCCAAGCCATTAGGTGGTTGGATTATAGTTTGTTAACCCTGTAAACCAATGCAACGATTTGTTGCTTTCCACATTTTTAAAAAGTTTTTTCTTTACTTCTCGCCATCATCCTTTATGCAGGAAACACTTAATGAGTCTCAGCTGCAGACAGAATTTTGCATTCTAGAATTTAAAAATGAACATTTAATGGTGAATTAAAATTTAATCCAAAAGTCTTAGGCAGCAATTAAATATTAATCCAATCAAATTTTAATCCGAAATGAAAGAACGGTATCATCTTTTTTCCTTTTTTAAAAAAAATTATCATAGCAGAAGAATTTGACTTTTTTTGTCACGTTTTGCTGTTTCATTTTTTGTGTGTATGTGTGGTAAAGGGAAAAGACAGAGTAGGTAAAAATGTGGCAGAACAACTAAAATTAAGTAGTTTAAGAAAAGTGGAATGTCTGCTCATGTCAGCAAACTTGACTTTACTTCAATTCCTTAGGTTATATCTGTTCCCACTGCTATAACTTAAGGCTTCTTGCTGTATGTATGGATATCACTGCATGTGAATTCTCCCTCTCTCCCCGCAAAGATGAGAGAATCCAAACTTTGGCTTTCATAGTAAATCAATAAAACCTTTGTATTTATTGCTTTTACTTTAACTTTCCTTGATTAAATTCATGTAGTTTTAAATTTTATTTTCATGCATTTTTTGTTCATTTTAAAGCTATTTTTGTGGCGCACATTTACCACCTTAAGTTTCACCTCGGAAAAGTAATCACAGTTGAACGCTGAATGTCACTTTCAGCTATGGTTTGTTCCAGAAATGTTAAATTTCACCGTTTTAAAAACCTCAAACTGTCAAAGGATGTTTTATCGCTGCATAACAAAAAATGCATATATTAGTTCATCGTCACAATTCGCACATATGTGTGTGTCTGTCTTCAGTGAGTAGATGTGAAATTCATTGACAGGGCCTATCTTGTCTACTATGTGTGATCTGTAAGTGAGTCTCAGAAATAAATGGTAACAAGTCAATAAATGTAACAACGTTGCCATTAGATGCGTGTGACGAATATGACCTAAAAAGAAACCGTTATTAAACTGTGTAACAACGAAAAAGAAGAATGAATCTTCAGCAGAGCAAATGCAGCTATTGTAGGGAGGTTTTTTCTGCCTCATAGAAATCCCTTTGTTTTCCTAATTGCATGCTGTATTGTCATCAGTCTATCCATTGTTCTGGATTATTTCTTTAGTTTTGTTGTAGACTTACATTTGTTCTCCCTTTTTCACCGGCACATTTCCTCCACAGGAGACACAGGGAGAAACTCCAGGCTCATTTCTCCGACAGCCGCAGCCTCAGAGACTGTACCGTCAATGCCTCCGGCCTCATGTCCAAATCTACCCCCAGACTTCAATACAGCCTTCAGCTCCAAAAGGTGCGTCTTTATCAATGATGTATTTATTCATTTCCAGTCACACCCTAATCATCATTGTCACCATCTTCTTCTTTATATATACAGTACTTCATATACACATTATAGTCTTTTGAGTTGCTGACAGGATGATTTATGATCTAAAATACGTCTTAATAATCTCTCTACTGGCTCGAGTCTTTTGTTCACACTCGTATCTGACATAGGCTGAGAGGCAGTGGGGAATTATAGCTTAAAATAAATGCATCACACATTACAGAGGAAAAATCTGCCTGCCATGTTCACTGTGACAGATTCCTGTGACAAACTGCAGAGTAGAAATTATAATCTGTTTTGGTGTCAAGGATCCTGAATTCTAAAGAACTCCAGCAGAACTTTATTGATAGCTAAATGTGATTGTGCTTGTGCATATTCATTTTAGTAATATCACAAATAACATTTTAAAGTGATTGGTTTGAAGCCGGCTGCTAAACTTTAAATTTTGAGTTAGTTAGACATTCCTCGAAAACCAATGCTTTCCAGAAACAACCACATACAGCAATAATAATAAATACAATCTACGACTGCATGCATAATACTCTCAATAGCCTAACAGGGCTTACACTGATTGATTGATTGCTTTCCTATTATCCCTCTCCACATGCACTTACATCGTGACGTCAGACACATACTGTATACTGATGTTGAAGGAGTAGAAGTGCTCCACTTTAAAGTGGAGCAAATCAAATCAAGGAAAGGTAGAAAATGTCAGAAGTGACGAAGCTCAAAATATTTAACTTAGTAAGCAGTAACTATGAACATTGTTTTACGGTGTACAAGGATACAGTACTGTGCATAATTCTACCACCGGTATTCTGTCCAGGTCTTGTGTAATTTGGCATAATACACCTTTTTTCCCTGGTTTCTCTTCCTTAAGAATGGCTTCTCGACAGCCATGCATCAAGATCATTTCAGTGAACAGTAAATGGAACAAGTAAAGGGCCAGATGCCTCTCTCAGGTCCTATATAAGGTCATTGGAGTGTTTCCTTAAGTACATGACCTTTAGATGCTGTTTATCTGCTGTAGATCATTTTTAGGCCTGCCACTTCTTCTTTTGTCAGCCTCTTGTCCAGTTTCCTCATTTTTTAAGGACACACTTCACACCATGCCCAGATATGCCAGGTATTTGGCTAACAGACCTTTGGGAATCACATTATTTGTGCAAAACTCCTATTTTGTGCCTGCCAAACTGTTATCTTTGGCATTTTTGTCGATTCAACCAAAGAAAGCGGGTGTTCTTTTTGACAGGCTCCTAGTAAAAAGTGCATAGAGATAAAATTTAAAAATGTATATTTGCTAAGTCGGCTGTTATGAGTGGACACAACACAGGTTCATTCCTTAAGTTAGATGCATTTTTTATGCTTGAATGATTTATATGTCAGTGTTAATTGGCTTTACAAATAAACAAACGGACAAAGAAAGATTCCTCTGGGAATGATCAGGCACGAGAACTGAAGTGGAAACAAGTTAAAAAGCAGCTAATGATGAAAGGAAAACCTCGGAAAGCATGCAGAACAATTGCAATTTCAACCAAGCATCGCTCCTTTGAGGCAAAATATAAAGAAATGATAGGTGGCTCGAGACTTTTTCACAGCACTGTACATTAGACATAAGTCATGTAAGTTCAGGCCAGTTGTTTTCCCTGGCTAAATAAGGGAACTGTTGTATATGGTGATGATGGTTACATATGGGATTGGTGCTTTTTGATGTATACGTGTATATATCTTATCAGTTATGCAGAATCTCAATTTTGGTGGTTAGCATGAATGTATGCACTTAAATGTCTAGTCCTGAGTCCCATCGGCTATGGACTAAAAATTGAGGGGGAAAAAAAGTTGTGGAGGGGAATAGAGAATTTAACAATAGACACATTTGTTGGCTTTCACCATATTTGCTGGTAAACTAGTATGTTTGATGTGTTGCTGGACTTAAATCAAACTAAAATTAAAATTAAGTAAAATATTATGAAACGTCTGGTTACTTTCACTTTCACTGGCTGCTGTTTTTTTTATATATCAGAGCAGGATTCTTTTCATTTGCAAAACACAGGTTACAGCTGCTCTGCCAGACATTTCTTCCTTCCCAATTATTCCATTCTGGTGGTTAACAAAAAATTTGTGAGTGATAACAATTTTAGTTATTGCAGTTCTACACTTTTGGGCACTTTTATTGGCAATTTTTATTTATTTGCCAATAAAAAGTTTGTGAAACTTGTGAATTGTGGTTGTGATTGTTCTTCACTATGTAATATAAACATAAAAAAAGATCTAAATAAAACTGAAGCAGCAAAGGGCACAAAAACAACAACTTTGTGCCACTGCCAAATGGCAGAAACACGGTGCTATTATAATCAAAATGCCAAGTTAAAGTACTGCATTATCATAACTATTAACAACAACAACAAAATACGCAAAAAGATTTACCTCAATTATACATAACAGGCTAAATAAATAAGATTTTGGGTGTTTTACATTTACCTAAAAATGGCTCTTTTGATAGTAAAAGTCCCCAGCCAATGAAGTTGATCTACATAGTAAACGTTGCTGGAATTCTGACCTCTTTAAATAGAAGAATGTAAAGTTGTGCCCATACTCTGGATCATGAATCCTGAATTCAACATCCAAGCACAGCAGCACAGTCATAATCCACAATGAGCACAAAACTGTACATTACAGCAGGTTCATGTGTTTAAAAAGTTGGATGTTTGCAAATTTGAACTACATAACCCTCAACCAACTCAAAAACTGAAGGAGACTAATATTATGTAATCATTTATCAACTAATAAACACATAGCATCAGCTCTAGGAAGGAAATTTCATCCAGGTGGGCAAATAATTCTTGGTTAAGAAAAAAAATGGCAAACCATAGAAGAAAAAGTGGCTCAGAATTCATTAGAAGCCACCACAGCCTGCAGCAGCAGCAGCAGACACTGCAGAGGAAACAAGTGACCCAGACATTCTTAGAAAAAGCAGAGAGAAGACGTGGATGGCACTGATAAGGCTAATGTCTCCACAGAGGGGTAATTGCACTCTACTGCACACTTGTAAAGGTTTCATCAAAGAGTGCGACCGCTTGGCATAATGCGTTCCTACTTTCTTTATTTAATTAGATGGATTTTTTTTGTTTTTGTTTTTAAAGAAGTTCAGTGTGCAGTCTTTCTTTTATCATTTCAGGAAGTTATATGGAGTAGTAGTCCATCATGTATCAATGCTAAAATGATAGAGAGATCAATTATAGATTTGACGTTTCTACTTCTGAAACATAAATAGTTTACAGCTTCCACAAATCTCATTTTAATATGTATGGGTACTAAGGTAGAAAGGTTATTAATACTGATTAATACTATAATACTGATTTCTTTATTTTCTGTATGTTTTTCACCCTTAAATGTTTCACATCATCAAAGAAATTTAAATATTAGTCAAAGATAACACAGGTAAACACAAACTGCAATTTCTAAATGAAGCTGTTTATTATTAAGGGTAAAAAAAAATCCAAGCCTACGTGTCCCTATGTGGAAAAAAAATGATTGGCCCCTAAACCTAATAACTGGTTTGCCACCCTAAGCAGCAACAACTGCAATCAAGCCTTTTCGATAACTGCCAATGAGTCTTTTACAGCGCTTGTGGAGGAATTTTGGCCCACTCATCTTTGCAGAATCGTTGTAATTCAGCCACATTAATGAAGATGTTTTTTGGCAAATCTGAGACAAGCCTTTATGTTCTCTTCAATGGATACCATTTTTGCAGAGTGTCCTGAACTCTGGCCTTAACTGAAACATGTGAACCCTACGGTTCATTAATGTTGTTTTACTTTCTTTTGTGACCTCCTGGAAAGGGATGGGTATCGTTTCGGTTTTATCCGATACCGGTGCCAAACCGGCACTTTTGAAACGGTGCCGGTGCTTAAACGGTGCTCCATGCTTAAAGAATGGAGAACACAAAGTTGGTCCAAAAACCTCTCATGGTCAGCTGTTTTTTTGTAAAAAGATAACAATGTTAGCCTTTTCTGCAGCTATAGGGCATATATGGTATCACTCTTGGCTGGAAGCAGTGCTTAAACAATGGAAAAAACACACACTTTGTCCAAAAAACTCTCATGTTTAACTGTTTTCCACTTTTTCTTTGGTCATTTTAGCCTTTTTGTCCAGGGTGAAGGGAGTATCTGCCATCAAACAAGAGGACAGCCGCATGTAGCTATGATGGTGTTTGCTAGTTCACCTTACCTGCATTAATTTAATAACGTGGTTAGCCTACTCAACGTAAATTACACACGGACAACATTAAGCCACTCACGCAGAGAAGAACGGCTGCTGCTGCCATCATCATCCGTCATCATTTCTGCTACACTGGCAGGGCTAGGGGCCAGGACTCTCCTCTTCAGGTTCTTTGGGGATGTTGGTAACTCGGTGCATTTCTAGGCTTTTAAAAAACGCTATGGCACCGGTATGGCACCGGATACCGGTAGCCATCCCTACTCCTGGATAAGTCGTCGATGTGCTTTTGTAGGAATTTTGGTAGTCCAGTCTTTCCTGGAAAGCTTCGCCACTGTTCCAAGTTTTCTCCATTTGTGTGTAATGGCTCTCACTGTGATCCACTGGAGCTCGAAGGCTTAGAAATAGCTTTCCACACCGGTAGATGTCTGTGATTTTTGTTTCTCGTGTGTCTCTTTAGATTGTGGCATGATGTGTTGCTTTTAGAGATCTATTATGCTGCTTTCCTTTGTCAGACAGGTTCTATGTAAGTGATTCCTTAATTCAGCAGGTCTGCCAGTAATCATCCCACAATGTATTTAGTGAAACTGAACTCAGATTTTCAAAAAAAAAAAAAAAAAAAGGTTAATCACAGTTAATTCGCAATAGGACCAGGTAGTTTTGGAAACCTTTTCTCCTTTAATGAATGAAATCATCATTTAAAAACTGCATTTAGTATTTCCTCAGGTTATCTTTGTATAATATTAAAA